CCCTCCCACATTTTAGAAAACCCAAACTAACCGTATGAGTAATAATGTCGCTGTTGCTGATTCCTAGTCACTTGGTCGTTGATCGATGTTCGGGTTGACCCTTGGCCAACCAACCTGCAATATCGTATTCAGCTGAGGACGTTTCACCTAATGTGACGTGAACATGACACTGTTCACTGATTTTTTTATGCTACTTAATAGCACCTACTACTAACTAGAATGTTATATCGCAGTTTCTGGAACTTTCCCATTTTTTTCCGAATTACCGAGGGGTGCGCAGGTTGATTGTAGTTGCTTTGTCTTTCCTGAAATTGAGTATACCGTTATTGATTTGATGCAAGGAGGGAAAAGATAGGGTATTATCATTAACCTATTTACGCATGATTATCAAACAAGATAGCCAGGTGAGGTTATCGTGTGACAGATGAGATGGAACAGGAACGTGCACAAAAACCTTCACAAGACATACCAGCATGTTCCTTGTTCGGGGACGGTCGCCACCAGTAACCGATGTACCGATCGAACTCTTCCTGAACCACGTATGAGGGCATACCAACCGAGAGACCACCTAGAGGTGGACAATAAAAATGACATAGATGAAAATAGTACGATCTGAAACAGATAGCCACGAAGACGAGCTTAGTGACCTAGTATATGCACAGAACAAACCCGTTTCTTCTCACACAGCTTGCAAAGACGAAGATTGTACACAAGGGATGTAATATAATAGCGTAAATGTGAACCAATCCAGAAAAGCTCTAATAAACAAAAAACCTTATTTGGGGAAATCTGGTGGCCAGAACGAGCAGGACACACAGCGGGTTGAATAAAATGTCCCGGGGGGGGGGGGGGGNGACAGTTGAAGGTGTAGCACATTTGTTCACGCCCAAATATTCGCACACGGCCAATTACCTCCCTGACCGTCCACGCGAGGTGACTGGATAACTTTCGACAATTTGAGGGACGTGATGATACCTCAACCTGAGACGAGACTGTTGCTCAATTGCTCGGTGAAGTGCTGATCGGCTGTGATGCGTCAGTGTCCGGCTGTGACGGATCTTGGCGGACTAATGGCATGACAATACGGCTTATGAGCCCAGTCCGGTTTTAAAAGACAGTCTCATGACACATTGTCGGGACAAACTCAGTTTTATGGTTAACAGATTGTTCGAGATGACCCTCTTACTTTCGTTACCTGGCTGTGTTTATTGCACACTTTCATGTGACGCAGATAGGGCGAACCCCATAGTCATGAGGACCTACTGTCTTCTTCGACCTTCACAGCAGTGCTGAAGCCAAATTGGGGTAGGCGGAATACTGAGACAGATATTCATTGGATATCACATTTTTTGTAACGTCCGTAAAAATCAGGTGTACGAGCCTCTAAAATCAACAGTCTGACGTCTTTTTCACTGGAGAAATAACGTTCTAGCATCTAGTCCAGAAGAACATAACAGTCCATAATAACAATTTGGGACTGTGTAACGACCGGAAACCAAAAACGTGTATCCGGCTCCTCAGGATTCAGCAGAATACAGTGAAAACCAGTCCACTTTCATGAAAAATGGGATTATCCGTGCAATTCGCTCGGCACAAGTACGAGTGTGGCACGTCGGTGTGCATATTTCCAATCGGGTGGTGACTAGGTGATAATTATCTACCCGGACGACGTGTGTTCGAATCCAACCACCACCGCTCAACTTTCCCTTTTCTGTTGTGTTGGTTGAATGGTAGCCATTTGATGGGCCGCTTCCGCCTTCCTGAAAAGTGTATCGTTGTATATATTCAATAAAAAATAATTAAAAGAAAAAGAAAAGAACACTTCACACTTACTAGATCAGTGTGAATTCGAAACAAAGTGACCGGGGATTTTTCTACATAACACTCCATAAGTACTCCTTGTACTCATTGCAATACAATCACAGAAATCGCGATCAATAACTCG